TGGAGTAAGTTAGGAAACTTGTTTCCCCAATTTCGGGAACACAGGGCACCCAAATCTATGAGACACCCAGCAAAAGTGCTCTGAGGAAAATGTACAACCATGCTTTCATTATTTAGAAAAGATATGAACCTACTAGTAAGCAAGCTTAATTAAAAGGATAAATCCAAGCTAATTAAAAGTGACTTTTTAAAAAAAGATTTTTTTTTTTTTTTAACTCAAGCACTTGATTGAGGGGGTGGAGAAAAACAAGAACCAAATGGTCCAATGAGTGGTATTAAAATTGTCCTGGGCCTTAGGGAAAGAGTGAAATTTCCAATTCATGTAAAGTGGTTTTAATATTAAATCCTAATGAAGAGCCCTAGTCAGTTTCGCTCAGTGGATTGAGCGTCAGCCCATGGACTAAAGAGTCACGGGTTCAAATCCGGTCAAGGTTACATACCTTACTAGTAGTTGCAGGCTCAATCCCTGGCTGGCCCCAATAGGGGCCGTGTAGAAGGCAACCAATTGATGTGTCTCTCTCACATCAATGTTTCTTTCCCTGTGTCTCTCCCCCTCCCTTAGAATTCAAAAAAGTCAATGGAAAGCCCACCTGGGTTGGCTCAGTGGTTGAGCGTTAACCTATGAACCAGGAGGTCATGGTTCAATTCCTGGTCAGGGCATATGCCTGGGTTTTGGGCTCAATCCCCGATTGTGCAGGAGGCAGCCAATCAATGATTCTCATCATTGATGTTTCTATCTCTCTTCCTTCTCTAAAATCAATAAAAAAAAAATTTAAAAAACTTGATAAAGATACTAAAAACCTAGAAGCCAAATTATGGCTGCAATATTTCAAAATAGTACCTATACATTAAGTCTAAAGACTATTAAGGGGAGGGAGGTTTGGGGCTGGGTGAAAAAGGTGAAGGGATTAAAAAAAACCAACCTCTTAACATAGAGACAACAGTGTGATGATTACCAAAGGGGAAGGGGTGGGGAGAGGTAGAAGAGGGTACAGGGGGCATAAATCATAATGGGAGATTGATTTTGGGTGGTGAACACACAATATATAGATGATATTTTATAGAATTATACACCTGAAATCTATTTAATTATATTAACCAATGTCACCCCAATAAGTTAAAGAAAAAAGATGGGTCCGAGTAACAAAACAAAACAAAAAAATTAACACTAACCAAGTAGGGTTTATTCCAGGAGCACAAGGTTGGTTTAATAGAGAATCTATCAACATAATTCATTACATTAACAAATTAATGAAGAGAAATATGATCATATTAACAGATGCTGAAAGGAATTTGATTAAATTTCAGCAGCCATTCTTTAAAAAGCAGTAATGGAATAACAGGAAGTATCCTAATGGTTAAACACTAAGATAATTTCAATTAGAATCAAGAACTAAACGGGGATGCCCACTAACAATTGTTTTAAGACACTCAACAAGGTAAAAAAAAAAATCTCTACCTTTTAGATCACATGTGCCTAAAAACTCAAGCCTTAATAGAGATATGATAGAACTAAGAGAATTTAGGAAGGTAGACAGATAATAGAGAAATATTAATGATTGTTAAAAGCAAAAGCACTGAAAAAACATTCCATTTAAAATAAAAAAAGCACCCTAACCGGTTTGGCTCAGTGGATAGAGCGTCAGCCTGCGGACTGAAGGGTCCCAGGTTCGATTCTGGTCAAGGGCATGTACCTTGGTTGCGGGCACATCCCCAGTAGGGAGTGTGCAGGAGGCGGCTGATCGATGTCTCTCTCTCATCGATGTTTCTAACTCTCTATCCCTCTCCCTTCCTCTCTGTAAAAAATCAATAAAATATATTTTAAAAATAAATAAATAAATAAAATAAAATAACAAAAGCAGCCCTGGCCTGGTAGCTCAGTTGGTTAGAGCAGTGTCCTCTATGCCAAGGTTGAGGGTTTGATCCCTGGTCAGGGCACATACAAGAATCAACCAGCCCTGGCCGGGTTTCTCAGTGGTTAGAGCATCGGCCCGTGGACCAAAGGGTCCTGTGTTTGATACCCCATCCAGAGTATGTTATCTGGGTTGCAGGTTCCTCAGCCCCTGGAGGGGCGCATGCGGGTGGCAATCATTCAATGTGTATCACTTTGATGTTTCTCTCCCTTCCGATCCCTAGAAATCAATGGAAAAAATATTCTCAGCTGAGGATTTATTTTAAAAAGAAGAATCAGCCAATGTGCACATAAATAAGTGGAACAATAAATCAATGTTTCTCCTTCCCTTCCTCTCTCTCAAATCAATCAAATTTTTTAAAATAACAAAAGCAATAAAATATTTAGGAATAAGTGCCTGGCTGGTGTTCCTCAGTGGTTGAGCATCCACCCATGAACCAGGAGGTCACGGTTTGATTCCTGGTCAGGGCATATGGCTGGGTTGGGGGCTCAGTCCCCAGTGAGGGCATGCAGTAGGCAGCCATTCAAAGATTTCCATCATTGATGTATCTATCTCTCCCTTTCTCTGAAATCAATAAAAATATTTTAGGAATAAGTTTAACAAGACTGACACACAAAATATGGCACAGGACCTATATGAAGAAATTGATAAAACCTTACTTAAGGATATAAACCAAGCTCCAAACAAAAGATACCATATTCTTAGATGGGAAAACAGTATATCCTAAAAGTCAATTGTGAAATAAAGATACAATGCTATTCCATTTAGAATCCCAAAAAGGTTTTTGTTTCTGTAAATAAGTGCCCAAGAATAGCCAATAGTTGTTTTAAAAAGAGAATTAGGGCCCTTGCTGGTTTGGCTCAGTGGCTAGAGCGTTGGCCTACAGACTGAAGGGTCCCGGCTTTGATTCCCGGTCAAGGGCACATGCCGGGTTGTGGGCTCGATCCTCAGTGGGGGGCGTGCAGGAGGCAGCTGATCAATGATTCTCTCTCATCATTGATGTTTCTATCTCTCCCTCTCCCTTCCTCTCTGAAATCAATAAAAATATATTTTAAAAATAAAAATAAATAAATAGAGAATTAGGGAACTTGCTTATTGAATATGAAAAAAAAAACATACTATGAAACAACCAATTAGAGCAATATAGCTTAATATATGGAGTGGTAAACAGTCCAGGGGCAGGGCAGCAAGGAGTGGATCCAGAGGTAGACCTCAGTATATAGGAAATGTTATTATATGGCCAAAGTTTTTCAATTTAGTGGGAATAAATTACGGATTTTTTAAATGAAGTTGACCCAACTGGAAAAATAAAATTGGACTCCTAATTTACAAAAACAAAAATAAACCAAATGAATTAGAGAATGTCAATTTTAAATGAAATTTAAATCCTGCCCTGGCCCGTGGGCTCAATGGTTACAGCATCTGCCTGTGCACCGAAGCATCTCTGGTTCTATTCCTGGTCAATGGCCTATACCGGGGTTGCAGGTTCCAACCCCACCCTGGCCTGGTTGGGGTACGTGCGGGAGGCAACCAATTAATGTGTCTCACATTGATGCTTCTCTCTCTCTCTCTCTCTCTCTCTCTCTCTTTCTCTCTCTCTTTCTCTCTCCCTCTCTTTCCTTCCCACTCTAAAAGTCAATGGAGAAAATATCCTCAGGTGAGAATTCACAACAACAACAAAAAATAAAAATCCTGCCCCCCCCCCCAAAAAAAATCTAGAAAATAATGTGTATACTCTAGTGTCTGGAAACCCAGAAACTACAAAAAAAAAACCCTGATATTTGACTATTGAAAACCCAACCCTTGAACAGTAAAAGCGGGCACAAACTCAAGAGGCAAACTGTCAGTTGGGGGGAATTTTACAATGTGGAAAACAGTTAATTCTGCTGCTGTCAAGAAGCTTTAACAAATTAAGAGAAGAATGAACCAATAGAAAAACAGATGCCACCATTTAAAAATGATTAGAGCCCTACCAGGTGAAGTAGTGACAAATTTATTGAGTGAAGAAAGTGAGATGCAACAAAGTGCATAATATTATCCAATTTTGAAATAACAATAACCAAAACCCACTGATCCATGTTGTTTCTACTACGCATTCAGGATTAAATTGCATATATGCATGCATGTGTAATAAAGCGATTTTTCAAGGCAAATACTAAGACCAACGCATCTCAAACAAAAGCAAATAAGCTCCAAGAAAAAAATTAGCTATAAACCCATCCCATATATTTCAATAAACATTGGTGTGTAGACCCATCTGTCCCTTTTTCTATGCTCCTGCATACTTTTCTTTTTACACAAAATTAAGATCATATGGCTCATACTGTGTTGAGATCTGTCTCTTCTAGTCCATTTTTCTCATCTTTCTAGACATTTGCTGATGCTATTCTCACCCCAAACTGCCCCGTCCTTTAAAAAACCGTCCATTCGCAGCCCCCAACAGAGAGTGGTTGGCCACTCTGAATTTTGTCCTCACCAGCTCTCTCCCCTTCCTTGAGGCACGTTTAGGTCTACCTGGTGTGAGTTTCTTGTGTGCTCCTCACCTCTCCCGTTAAACTGGGGAGCTCCTTGGGGGCAGGAACTTTGCCTCTTTCATAAGTGTCCTCATGCTGCCTAAAATGCACATAGTAGGCACTTCATAAATATGGTTGTACAAAAGGGACATAGGCTTCCTGTCTCTGGTATTGCATGATCTCAAGAAAACCCAGAAACTACGTCGGCAAACTGCGGCTCAAGAGCCACATGCGGCTCTTTGGCCCCTTGCGTGTGGCTCTTCCACAAAATACCAACTTCTGCGCATGGGCCATGAAGTTTCAATCGAACTGTAATGCGCGCCCGCACATGGTATTTTGTGGAAGAGCCACACTCAAGGGGCCAAAGAGCCGCCTGTGGTTCGCGAGTCGCAGTTTGCCGACCACTGGTATAGGTGAAGGAGTGCTCTAGGAGGTAGCTGAGACACTGCACAGCAGGGATCATATCTGAAGAGCAGGCCCAGGCCTGGGTATCCCTCGGATCAACCAAACCCGCCCTCCACCCCCTTCCCAGGGCTCTACCAAAAGCTCAGAAAGGAACCACCCGCACACAGGGCTCCATGTATGATATATATTTATATATATAATTGCTCTCATTTTATTGTACTTAATTCTCTTTTTACAGTAGATCTGACACAGGCATTAAATAACTGCAGAGAGAGACCACAGGGGTGAGGAAGTGCAGGAAAACATGGGGACCCAAAGTGAAGAAACAGATCCAGCAAGAGAAAAAAGGGGAGGGTCCATCTGTGGGTGGGGTGTGGAGGCTGCAGCATCAAAAAAAAAAGGGGGGGGATTAGAGAGGTGAGGCAGTGAACAAATGGCACTGGAGGAGACAGTGAAAGGCCTCTGTAACGCAAGAATACAGAAGGTCCCTCTTTTACAATTCTATGGGCACTAGGGGGTTGTTTGAAACTGCAGAGAGATCTGAAGGAGACAGAGCCAGGCAATCCAGGGCCTAAATGGAGGGGGTATTTGCAAGTTTCAGGCTAAAATGCAGAGGAAAGGGTAGGCGTTAGTGATTAGTTGATAAATTGCTAAGAGGAACCAGCAAGAGGATGGTGGGGGCAGATCTGGGCCCAGGGAAGCTGGTGGAATAGTCCCACAGCTGCTGACGTTCCCAAGGTGGCCACTGGGGACAGATCCAAAACGGCTGCCCCTCCCCCAGGGCTCTTGGGAAGTGGAACTTGAAGGATATTCTGGGAAAGCCGACAGGGGTAAGGGAGCCATCCGCAAAAAACAAAGTGGATATTCAGCCTAGGTCAACCCTGCCCCTCTGAGCGGTGCCTATTTGGGCGATAGAGACCAGGAAGAGAGACCAATATAGACTTCTAAACCCTCACTCCCAGCTCACACCGTCACCTTAGGATGATAAGTGGAATGTACCAGGAAACAGGGAAAAGACTACGAGCCAACTGTCCTGAAAAGAGAATGGGGATGGAGAGGAGGTGGAGAAAGACCTACCAGAGGAACCAGATAAGTTAAAAGCCACCAAGACAGCAACAGTGTATAGTAGGGGAGTGTGAGACATAGGGGAAGGTGACAGCGGCTGCATCAGGACTGGGAGAGTGGAGTGCCCCATTCCTGTCTGGAAGCTAAGGGGTGACATGAGATTGTGTTTATGTGCATGTGAAGATGGGGAGGCATTTTCTGTATCTCTCAGGGGATGGGAGGGTAGCTGTGGGGACACCCCACTCACAGCTAAACCAGAACCAGAACAGCTCCTCTCCTCTGTGACCATCTTGGGATCCCACCTTTCTATCTTTGACTGAGGGGGGTTGGGAGAAGATGGTGGAAAATGTGTGAAAGTGGGGAAATCACAACGGACATCAACCAGGCTGGGTTCAGAGGAAAAGGAAAAGGGACATTCCAGAAGCATCCACAGGAAAAGGGGGGGGAACAGGAGGAAGGGGGGGGTCTCAGGTTTTGTTGATGCGGAGTTTGAAGGCCACTCGGCCCGCAAACTTGTCTCGCTCGTCATCTGTGGCGATGTTGACGGCGTTGATTCGGCATTCCACGTTCACCTCCACGTTGGGGGTCACATTCAGGAACTTCACGGCCACGAGGGGCTGTGTGTAGTTCACCTGGGTCAAAGGAGGAGAGTGAGGGACCAGGCCCAGGGCAACTTGGCCTCCTCCTCAAGGTGTTTGCTCCCCTTGAGGAGCCATCGCCCCAGGGCCTCCCATAGAACTTACGTGGAACTTTTTGCCATAGTAGGGGAAGTACATGAGGTCGATGTTGCCATTGGCAGGGAACATGACAAAGCTACCCAGATTCTCAGCATCTTCATCTCGCTGTGGGGGCACAGGAGGGTAGAAGGGAGAGCTTGTTAGGGATGGAAGGAACCCGGAAGCTCACTAGACTTCCCTTTGTTTTTTTCACCCCGGATTATTCTGTCTCAAATCTGTTTCCCTTGAGCTGTGAGTCTGTGTGTGTCTGAGTGTGAGCAGGAGGAGGTATCCCGTCTCTCTCAATAGGCTGGGAAGTCCTAAAGAGACCTAACGATCTGAAGCCTCCTACTCCACTCCCACCTCAAGTTCTTACCCCATCCTCAGGAATCGGTTTCTAGAGCAGAGCCAAGAGAGAACTGATAAATGAGTTAGGCTCAGTAGAAAGCAAGGAGAGGGGTTGAGGGAAGAGATGGCAGGAAGTTTCTAGACAGGACAGAGGTGGAGACAGTGGGGTTCCGAGGACACCTTAGTGGTAGCAGATGGTGCTAACAGATCAGCAGCTACCAGATCCCTAAAAAGAACTGAGGAGCAGGTGAGATATGGAGGGAGAGCAGAAGACATGGTTATCAGGGAATAGAGAAGAAGGTGGGAAGGTTAAGGAGAGAAGCCAGAGGCCAGGGCTTGGGAGGAGTCAGGAAAGGGGGTGTCTATCCACACAAGAGCTGGCTTCTGCACCCGAGAGAGAAGCAAGAGGAATAGGATCCCCTGGAGTTAATCGGTTTCTAGAGCAGAGCCAAGAGAGAACTGATAAATGAGTTAGGCTCAGTAGAAAGCAAGGAGAGGGGTTGAGGGAAGAGATGGCAGGAAGTTTCTAGACAGGACAGAGGTGGAGACAGTGGGGTTCCGAGGACACCTCAGTGGTAGCAGATGGTGCTAACAGATCAGCAGCTACCAGATCCCTAAAAAGAACTGAGGAGCAGGTGAGATATGGGAGGGAGAGCAGAAGACGTGGTTATCAGGGAATAGAGAAGAAGGTGGACGGTTAAGGAGAGAAGCCGGAGGCCAGGGCTTGGGTGGAGTCATGAAAGGGGGTGTCTATCCACACAAGAGCTGGCTTCTGCACCCGAGAGAGAAGCAAGAGGAATAGGATCCCCTTGGAGTTTGATCCATATTGGAGCCCTCTCTTACCCCCTTATCCCTATAGTGATGGGGCCTCTGGGAGCAAAGAAGATTGAAGAGATGAGTGAATTACATGGAAACCATGATATACAAACAGGCGGGCAGGTGGACAAGGTCCAAAAAGCTCACCTTCCCCGCACAGGTAACATTCATGCTCTGGTTTGCTCCTGCATAGAAGTTGATGACCTGGAGTGAGGAGAGTGGTGAGAGAGTTATTAAAAGAAGTTGTCAAAGACACAACTTCCAGCCATGGACCCCAGCCTCCAATGGCCCTATCTTTCTTGTTCTCTCAGCGACTCAAACATCCAAAAATCTCTCTAATGCCCATCAGGAAGCAACTGTCAGTAGATGGTGGCCCCAATTCCCTCCTCCATTCTCCCTAGGGACCAAGGTCATGGTTACCCGGTTCATCTTAATGAAGACACAGGGCTGCCCAGTGCTATAACCATAGTGGGTGGGGTCCCCGATGCCAGAGCAGTCACCCAGCTGGGTCCGGTTGAACTGGCAGGCACGTTTCGGGTAGTTGAGGACTCCGTTATCTGGTTGTTCGTAATAGCGCCCAGGGCGGCAGACATCATTCTTTTGGGCTTGGATGGAGTCGTTGTAAGCTAAGGAGGTGGGGGAGAGAGAGCATCGGCCGGATGTTCCACTTCTAGGGTCTCCAACCCCCTGCCCAAGGTCCTGCACAACCACATCTCCAGCCCCACACTCACGCTCCAAGAACTTGTTGAGCTTCTGAACATGCTGGTCCCAGCTTTCAGTGTCACTGACATTGACGACGACATCAAGGTTCTCAGTCTTGGGGCGAATCATCAAGCCTATAGCCAGACAAGGGCAGGAGTGCGGGCTGTATATACGATGTGGGGCCACACACAGAGGGCAGAAGACAGATATAGGGAACACCAGGGTGAGGGATGGGATGAAGATCTAAGATCCTCTTCATGGGAGGAAGAGATCCCCGGGTCACATAGCTCTCAGCTGTGGGAAATGGGAAAGGAAAGCGGACTTCAAGAACTTCCCAGCACATGGTGATTGGGTCATCAGAACCACACCTCTGAGAATTCTGAGTTCTTCTCAGCCTTGGAGTTCCTTTGGGAAGCTGAGGGGCAAAAGAGCAGTTAGAGTGGCTGGTAGTAGAGTCTCATCACTCACCTGGTGTGGCCAGTCGGTCCTGGTACTTGGGGGTATGGTCAGAGACAGTCTGCAGCATCACCCACATGGTGAGGGTGAACATGGCCGTGAGGAAGCCATAGAAGACGAAGTAGAAGAGGAGGATAAAGGCTGGGGAGGAGGAAACGGGGTCAGCAGGTTATCCCGCCATGACCTCACCTGTCCCACACACCCCTTTCCCACTCAGAGGCTCTGCTCTGGGACAGGTCACAGAGCCTCGGGGACATCTCAGGGCCTGCCCCGGGGGAGTGAGATGAGACAAGCTGGAAACAGGCAGTTGTGCCTGGCGTCCAGCCATGACTCCCAGCCCCCTCCTGGTCCTGGGGCACAGCGAGGCCTGACCTTGTGGAGGCCACCAGAGACCTGAACTCTCGTTGCTGAGACAACCCCAAGTATAGGCCACAGTGATTTTGCTTCAAATTACATTCCCAACTTCTCAACCATTCATGGCCCTGAAAAAGCACATCTGTTACTGCTGTATCGGTACTCCTGCTTAAAGTTGTACAGCACACAACTTCTGAAGCTGGCACTGGCTACCGGCTCACAACCAAAACTCTCATCCCATCCTCAAAGTGTCGACCCTCACACTCAGATAGCAACATCTTCCCTCTCTCTCTCCTGGCATCCCACAGAAGCCAAATCTTGAACACAGCTCCTTCCGAACTACAACATCTCTCAGAGACAGATGTCCAGAACTGTCAACGGTCACCCCACCCCCAACTCACACACAAAACACTCAGGCGAATCTCCCACCGCCTTCCCAGCTGAGAGCAGGTCTTTGGTGGACGTGAGGTGGCACTATGTCACTGCTCAGCTGAGTATGGGTACCTGCTGTTCCCACCACTGGGAGCCCCTAGTGACCCAGTGGTTCTCAACCTTCCTAATGCCGCGACCCTTTAATACAGTTCCTCATGTTGTGGTGACCCCCAACCATAAAATTATTTTCGTTGCTACTTTGTAACTGTAATGTTGCTACTGTTATGAATCGTAATGTAAATATCTGATAGGCTATATGTGTTTTCCGATGGTCGAGACCCCACAGGTTGCAAAAGACACTTCCCCCAGGAAGCTTCCTCAGATTCTCCCAAGTACTCACGGACCTCTCCAATCCCAAGGACTGGACTTCAGGTCCCTCCGGGCAAGGACTGCATTGGACCTACCTCAGGGGCCCCAGGTGGATGGGCTGATGGGGATGTCCTTCCGTCAGTGTAGATGAAGTGTCAGTTGGGTCACACCCTGTACCCGGTGCTCAGATTCCCCAGTTTGACTGTCCCTTTTGGAAGAATTCCACCCCTCCCCTGCACCCATGCCCAGCACCGGACCCTCAACCAGACACAACTCCCTCCACACCCCCTGAGTCCTGCCACCCCAACCCCAAGCCACATTAGGCCAAATGATGTACACATCGCACCACCAGGTGACCAACTCTCCCTGCACCTGCGACATCTGAGACAAGCATCCAGCCTCAAGATTCTCACAGTGACCCTCCTCCCCAGCAGCCCCCACCCACAGAGCAGCCACAGATGGCTCCGAGTGCCCCACCGTGGGCCACAGACAACTTCCGCTGTGAAGGATCCCCCTCCTTCCAGCGCACATCCCCACCTCTCCAAGACCCGCCCTCTCACGCCTGTTCCCAGGGTCCAGGGGTGGGCGCGAGCTAAAAATAGACGTGTTTGGCCAGCCGGTTGGGAGCCATGGGGAGGGAAGGGGCGTCTTCTGGGGAAGGAGGGCCCCTGTGCGGTGCCGACCAGCCCCCGAGAGCGAGTGCGAGCGCC